CATAAGTATATAATATTATATTTAGGGGTTGTCTTCTATCGTAGCACTTTCGCGGTATATCGTCACGCGCCACTATATATACCTACTACCGTTAACTCCTGGGTATCCGCCCTAAACGACGAGTGTGTCGTCGTGTTTTTTTAATATCTATAATTATACGGGCTATAATGCTATAACATAGCCCTACTATAAAATTACACACACATACTCAATCACGTAACACGGCAATCACTACCGCTAAACGACGCGACCGGCCCATTTTTTTTTTTTTTTTTTGTCAGAACATAGTTTTCTCACTAAATGGTACGCGCGCGCCTCGTAAAACGTGTGCAATTTACTTTATGCGCCAAAATAGCCCAAGGGTCCTGCACTATATACATGCTATATTGCTATATACACACAGTTTATACATTGGCCGGACGTTCTTTCCTCGAATTACCTCCTCTAATATATATAACACAACATATCCGTAACCTCAAAAATACAATACAAATTATTTATCCTCGGGGATAGTAAATGATATATAAGTACATCGTGACGGTGATAACGCGTACATGAACTAGGTACGTATCGGTAAATTGATAGTTTTTATTTCGTTTTTTTTTTCGAACACCACAAACATACTTATACCTACATACCTATCTATACCATATTATAGTTTAATAGTAAATAGAGTGCATCGTGCGGTGTGTGTGTGGGACACGTGTAAACACAGACGACCCCGCGTTAATCGAAATCGTGTGCCGCGTAGGTGGTGTAGGTAGATATAGGTACGCCTAAAAGGGAGTATAGGGAGAAATCAATCAATCAATAATATTTTTAATATATAATACTGTGTTGTGGTATACTAGATATAGGGAGAGCGATATTTGAAAAACGACGGCCAACGAGCACGGCGGCGTATATTACCCGTACTATATTTTATATACTACTACCCGTATAGAAGTAAATAATTTGAAAACGAACGTCGAATGTCGCAGCCAAACTTATTTCCAAACGACACAGAAGTGCACCACCACCATCACTACCACCTGCGGCTGCAGTGTGCGCGGCTTGGTGAGCGCTTAGTCTTAACAAATGCTACACGCTCACTAATAATAATATTATAATTATTACATAGAAGAATTAAAATATTACCTGTTTAGAAAACACTGCGATGTCTTCGTTGAAGGACTCGGACGAGCACACGTCACCGCCCGCTACGCCTGGATCCCGGGGCGTGCACGTGGCAAGTTCGCATTTTTCAAATATTAATGCCAGAAGCGGGAACAGCGGGTGCCTAAAAAGGGGACGGTAAAAAAGAACACACGACAATTAATACACAATGGTTAATGTTTGGTAAATAAGAAAATATTGATGTGAGTGCGCGGTGGTATTGTGTGTTGTTATATTAATTATTATATACCAATAGTACCAATAACACTACGGCAGGTACGCTTTAATGTACCTATACGCGCGCGGACGCATTATCGCCGCACTACATTATATTTTTTACACAAATGGAGGCGGTCAAGAATAACAATAAAGGTGTACCTACCCGGTGTGTGCGTATATATATATATATATCCGTAGTAACAAAGGGAACACGAAATATTTGATTTAAACTAACGACGTCAAACACGCGAATATCGCGACGATGTAAAAATATTAAAAAGGAAAAAAAGGAAACCGTTTCGATGACATACGAGCTGGCGAGCATGATATCCGTATGCGACGAAACGGAATTCTCGATATACTTAACACCGAATGGATATAGACAACGATATTGAAAGATTGAGCGTAATATATCATATCATATTATTATTAGGCGAAAAATTAGTAATAATAGTAAGTCCCGATTTGTTGAACACGTTGTCGCGTCAAAGAAATAATAAAAAGTATAACATACTGTTACGAGCGGATTCACTGAAAACTAAATACCTATGCACGTGTTTACCGAGTGAAAAATAAATCATAATTATAATTATTATATTATAATCAATCGATTGCCGTACGACGATTTAAACTGAAATTATAATATACTATATCATAATGACTTTTGTTGTGCAAGCGTCGCGAAAATTAAAATACTTAAACAGAATAAAACAATAATAATAATATATGAAATACCTRCTGCAGGCCAGCGGCATACTTTGGAAGCATCGCGGTGTGTACGCGATTGTCGCGATTCGTTAATGAACGAACGAKAGATATTTTAGTCAGTAATCAAAAAACGATGGACGACGCCGACAATTATTATTATTCCGCGTTTGTTTACGGCGCACTATCGAAACGCAGCGGAAACCCAATGGTGTTCACAAAGGAACTGGACTACGTGTTGGAGGGTAAATGATCTGCTGCAAATRCTCTATGGTCACCGCGGTAAGATAGCGGTTCGCAAGGAGATTCTAAACTTTTCGGAAAACGAGCGAYGGGAAACATGCGATCGCGCATTATTCARTACCACGATAATATTATTTTTACCATAACCGTTTGCACCGAGTGTGGTCTCTAACGCCGCGGTGTTCGGAATTTACTTTTTATTCACTCGAAAAAATTGTAAATAATTATATTGTTCAGGTAAAACGATTTCAATAGTAATTATTAATATCAACCCGCCTAACCACGCGGTAAACCAGTTGGATGTTTTCAACTGTAAGGCGTATTAAGTGATTACCTACATTATGGTAACACGCGTGGACCACAATTTTAATGCAGGTACAGTACCTTAACGGCTGTATCGCGGTGATTTACGCGACGCAGTACTTTACGAACCTCTCCATTGACGGACTTTTAAAAAACTTTTTCGCGCACAACACACGTACCGGCTACTACYACATTATACCAATAACTTACCCGTAAATGGAATCCTTGTCGCGTTTTTGCGCTTCGGGCACCACCACGGACGCACCACCCGATGTGTGGTTGTTGACGGGCGTACCACCGCCAGCGGCCGGCGATACATGGTTCGGCGGTGTGGCGGCCGCTGCGGCTGCGGCCGCCGAATGGAACATGGCCGACACGGGGTGTTGTTGCTGCTGCTGTTGCTGCTGCTGCTGTTGCTGGAGGTGCGCCGCTTGCTGTTGCTGATGGTGGTGGTGGTGCTGTGCGGCTGCGGCCGCGGCSGCCGCTGCTGCCGCTGCAGCCATATTTTGGAGGCCCCGATGGGCGAGATGCTGTTGCTGTTGGTGTTGGTCGTACATGCCGCCGGTGCCGGCGAGTCCAAGACCACCAGGCACTCCACCACCGGGCACTACGCCTGGAGGCACTACGCCGTTACCGGCTGCGGCCGCGGCGGCCGCACCGACAACCRCGTCCATGTACTGTTGCTGCTGTTGCTGTTGGTGTATGCCCGGTTCGTCGTACTGCAAAACCGAAAAGGAACGCGCACACACAAACAACACAAACGTTTTAATAAGGTACGGTAATGATGGTATAATAATAATAATTATAGGTAGGTAGGTAGGTAGGTAAGTATTATAGGTTTAACGACGGGCAGTAATAATAATAATGCGTATAACATTGTACGGAGCGACAATAGGTAATCATTATTATTATTATTATTGTTGCTGTTGTCGTAGTTTTTATTGTTTGTGAAGCATTATTCATTGCAATACAAATTCAAATGTAATAGTTGGATTTAATATATAAAAAAAAAACTTTAGTAAATGTTGGTAATTAAGAAAAAAACAATGATCGATATGGGTACTCGTATTGAATTTGATTTAATTGAAATAACGTTTTAAGCTACCATATGGACATAATCTACAAAGGAACCTATACGCTACATTAAAATCTAAATTCATTATACTAATTAATTTTACTGTATCATAAAAAAATATATTATTGTGTATGCGAAGAGTAGAATTGAATTGAAAATAACTAACCAAATTAATGTAAATGGCAAAATATTTTGTTTATTTTAAAAATAAAACATGTTAAATGACTTATGTTTTAATTTTTCTGATTTATGTGCAGGTACAATTAATTCATTATATTATCTAAACCTAAAAAGTTCGTGCATAATTATTGTAAAATAACAATTTATAAAATATTCACACGTTTTAAAGGAAAAAATGACAGTTTGTTTTTTTCAAAAGATACCATATGTCTTGTAAATAAACGCCTTACCCAATATAATATATTATGGTATTATTATACATAGAAATATTTAACATCATGTCGTAATGGTATTATAACAGTCACTTTTTTAATAATAATTTGACAATAAAAGTATGCATTACAATAAAGATAAAAAATGATTACAAGACATGTGATATTATATTTCAGATTTCTATCATGCATATTCGAGTTCGTTATAAAATACTGGAAGTGTGACACTCAAAATTATTTATAAAATAAAAAAACATGACGAATAAACATAATAGCTAATATATTATATTACGGATCTTATTATTTTATTAAGGATTGTAATTATTGTAGATAATGATTCACTTAACACGAATCCATGTTTTAAATTAAAATCTATCTTTCTATTTTTACTATCAAAAAAATACTGCAAAAACATGTATATTATCTGGAACACGTGCACATAGATCACACAATTACTCGCTAATAATGTGTGATGTGTATTAATATAAAACATAAATATTTTTTTTATTAATTATATAATATAATACAATAATACATATTACTTTTTAAAATAAATATAAGTACTTGTTGTAAAATKCTGTAATGAATATTACATAATGATTGTAAATAAAAATATGTTGAGAAATATAAAATAATAACTATAATCTTTGAATATGGATTATTGTATAAGTATACTGCATTAGTATAAAATAAATCTGATTAATTTGTGTTTTATAATTTTCATAGTTAGTTTATAAAACAAGTCTATAAAAGAAGTGATATCGTTTTTCAAGATTAAATTGATTATTATTAGGTACCTATTTTGTTTAATAATAATTCTACACGTACCTATTACATCAATGTTCAATATGAAATATAACATTAGTTTCCGCAATATTAGTGTTATTTAAATCCAATTAATCACATTGTTTATAATGTAATGCAAAAAATGAGTTTTATCATTATTTTAATAACTGTTTAAAGCATGACCTTTTTTTATATGATCTGTATGAAAATAAAAATTTGCATGAAATACATTATACCTACCTACAAATAAAACGTCGACATTTTTGATCGATTGATGATAACCCGAAGCCACATTTATAATGATTTATTGTTATTTAAACGATTTCGTAGAATCAGAGCGGTAAAATTATGATTAAGTAATATTATATAAATAATGAGTAATTAGATGACGATGAATTAAAAGAACACCAAAGGCGGCTGCCGTGGCGATAGTATAAAAGTTGTAATTGCGCCAACAGCGGGCGAGCTCAGTACATCAAAGGTTTTATTTGCTTTAGCCATCACGGTTGCTATTAATTATGAATTATAATTAATAACAATAATAATTTCCTAGTATACGACCCGAGTAACCTAAACTATTTCACTCTAAAATATAATCGATCTATTATGCAGAGTAATCATTGTTAATTATTTAGTAATATATCTGATATAGGTACTTAACCTAAATATAATTTTTTAAAGTGATAATCATAGTTGGTATAATAATAATTAATAAAATTATAATAACCAATAATTATATTTAGTAGGTAAGAGAAGGTTTAATTGGTTTTATAGTATGTTTTAGTACTTAACTTTAAGTATGTTCAACGTTTTTTATAGCTGATATCTATTATATGGATATAAATGTTGATATAATTTCTTTGAATTACCAATGTTACAACATTTTATTGCTAAAAATAAAAATATTCTGAATATTAATGACGCAGGTATAACTATTACTAATACAGATCTGAGTATTAGTTGATTTGGACATTTTTTTGATAGTAGGTATTTAGAATGTCTACATCATTAGAAAAATATTAAGTTTCATATCAGATTCAGGTGAGATATATAATGTAATCATTAATCATCAATAAAAAAAATATTGATTTCATGAAACTGAGATAAAAATTTAACATACTTTGAATCGGTAGACTTTTGAATAATTTATTTATAGAATATAAACACATTAGTTAAATATAAATATTAAAAAAATTCAATGATTAATAGCTTGATTTTATTTTATATTAATTTATAATGTTCACAATAACAATTTAAATTTTTTTGAATTGAAATTATTTAATGTAACCATGCCTACAACCTAGTAAATATTTAAAACCCAATATAATTTTTTTTTATAAATAATAAAAAAAACTGATCAATTACCTATTATATATGTTTATATATTTATATATATATTATATATGTTTTAATAAAACACATGAAACAATAAATTGATACATATGATTTTATATTTTTATATTATAATGTACATATTATATGTATAGATTTAATAAATAGGTACCTACATTTATTTAAATGTAAATAATATTTATTTACTGAGATAAATATTAAAACCAGATTAATTTTATTGAACATTGATGTTATTTTTTGTTGTGTATGTATTAAATTATAAGTCAATGACCTTATTAATAATCAAATTATAACAATATTATGGGTTGTTAATAAAAGATATCAATAAAAATTGGAATGTTTTCTATCTTCTAATCTAATATAATAATCTGAAGTCAATATAACATTACATTTTTATGTCTTATAATCCGGTGAATATTTTACTATTTTATAAAATAGTAGAGTAAGTAACCCATATGTATTCAACTTACAACTAGTTCATACGAACATTTCAAATAAACAAATTTACTATTCATAAAATGTCACTTTAATATTCACCGACGTCAATAATAAAATCAATAATTTGAACACGTTACTAGAATATCAATAAATTATGACCGGATAAGGATATTATATTTTATCATTTTTTAAACCCTGTAGGTAAGCATATTTTTAAATTATAGGTTCAAAATCTACTTGCAATGAATTATTATTAATTTAATTTATCATATTTAATGAGTCACTCGCCATACAATCATACATTTTAAATTATTATGTAACATACAATTTTATGTAAGATGAGAATGAAAATGCCTTGACTTACTTACCCACCTACCAATTTATTTTTAATTTCTATTATAAATTCTTAACACTAAGCTTAATAAATATTTTACATCGAAATAATGTGTGTGTAAATTAACAATAAATTCCTATAAAACTATAAAATGCGCGTTATATAGCTTATAGGCGATTATAGTATAAATTAATGTAAGTAAAGTTAGAATCTAAAATGTTAAAAAAAAAACAATAAAACGCCTATTATTTAGCATTAAAAGTATTAAACGGCTATTGAAACATTTTTAAGCATCGCTTTTTACTCTAAACAGCTATTCTCTGATGTAAAATCTTATGTAGAAATGTATTTTAAGATGTGTAGTTTTCAAATTTCGAAAAACAAGTATTGTGCGTGTATATAACAGGTAGTAAAAACTAAACATTAACTAAAGTAATGTATATGTATATCTAAAATACTGATTAGAAATTAACGTATCATGTCTATTATTTAAAGGTGGCTTAATAATAATTACTAATACGTAATACACAATACGTGACAACAAAATTACATCAGTGTCGAAAATAATATGTTGTGCGTATTGTTGTTGCGTTAAAAGATCCATAATGACAGCAAATAATTCTTTTAACACAAAGCATTGTCTTTTTTTTTAATACATAATAATATTATTAATTTATTACATTTTTCAACAAGCAATGTATTTATTTTTTTTTTTGCTTGTTAAATTAATACATTAACTGTAATATTCAAACGCATATAATATAATTAGGTGCATGTAATCAGACATACATTATATTATACTGTTATGTTTAAATGTTTAATTAACCACAGTAACTGTAGTTATTCTTACTACAAATTATAATATACTATATTATTGTTTAAGATAAAACGTGAACAAATAGTAATAATAGTAATAATAATAATAATAATAATAATAATAATCTTAATAACAATAACCACAATAATTGTACACACACATTATTCCAAACAAAACATAATACGCACCATACACGGTATACCTATTATTTAGAGTATTATAAAAAATTAAAAAACCCGCAAGTAGGTAAGGTCCAAGTGACGACGACGGTGGGCGGTTGCGGCGGCGTTAAGACAAAAGTGACAAAACGAAGGAATAAAAATAACAAAAGCCACATGGCCTCGGTTCGTACACGCTAGCACTTCAAAGGGTGGTATTATATAATGGCGTTATGTAATACATAGTCGTGGTATAGGCCCTTTTGTACGATATACGAAAAACACTAAACACATTGTTCACGATAATATTATTATAGTTGTCGTCGAGAAATAGGTACTGTATAATAATAATAATAATAATAATTTATTATTGGGTATCACGKTTTGCGGTATCATTAACCGACACATACACCTATTAATTATTGTAATATTACAATTTCTATAAATAATAATAATAATAATATTTGTATGTAGGTAGAGATCCGTTTTATTAAAGCGGTTGTTGATGATAACGCTCCGACGGAGTATGTGGCCTATACCACAACCGCGTTATTAATAGTCAAATCGAACGTTTCGCATACTATGCGGGCTTAAAATACAACCGTGGTCATAATATTCGGCAAGAATGCGCGTCAACGAAAACGAAACTGACGCCGTCGCGAGTCCCAACGCCGATCACGCGGCTTTTTATCCAGATTATTATTGCTACAAAACAATAATATCGTTCGATAAGAATAACAACGATAAAATATTACCCATTCGTCGTTCATACAAATATAATATACTATTACACGAGTGGTGCGTATTATGTTTTATTCATCGTTACATTATATTATTGTTGTCGTTGTTGTCTACATTATAATATTATATCAACAATATTGTACACGGCTATGCATATTAGGTATAATAATATCTCTATGTAATCTTAAGTAAATATAAAAACGCACAATAATACATACATAAACACTCACCCTGGGTTGAGCCATGTTGCTGGAGGAGTCGCTGCTGCTGTTGCTGTTGCTGCTGCTGCTGTTACCGATGTAGTTGTTTATCGCCGTTGTGGCTGCGTTTGTACACTAACGGTGGACCGTTTAAAAACTATTGTCAGCAGTGTATATAATACCACTGCAACCGGTTATTTTTATAAAAATTAAGCCTATTCGAAGATATTTGAACTTTAGCCAGTACGTTGCAAGTATAACAGTGTCAACAACAAAACGGCGTGGACAACGGCAATACAAAAATCATTGCAAATAGAGGTACGTTAAGTGAACGTTAATACCGTATGATATACTCTATGTAAAGTTGTCAATGCGTATACAGGAAGTTGCAGATGTCGTAGACGGATGTTTTTTTAAAAAAACATTTATTTGAAACGAGCGACGGCACACTCGTGCAATAGGTACGATAGAGGTAATCTATATTTTTATTGAAAAATAGTAATTAATAGAATGATCGACGACGACGACGACGACGACGGCGGAGGCGGTGGTGACGATGGCGGCGCGGCGGTTATTATCTTTCGCAAAGCGGCGAATTAACTACTACGACGACGGCGGCGGCGGCGACGATGGAGGCGGCGGCGGCGACGACGGTGAAGGCGGCAGCGACGACGGTACGATAACGGCGGTGGCCACTACGGCTTGTGCTCGATACGCTGCTGCTGTTGTTGCTGTTCCTGCTTCTGCTGTTGCTGATAGTGCTGCTGCTGCTGCTGCACGTCAGCTGATCGGGACGTCGCATTTCGGCGCGCAGAAACGTGCATACGTCGTGCCCCCCGTCCGATGCGGCGTATCACGTCGTGGTCGTCGCAGCAGCAGTACAGAGGTTATGGTACAGCGGTGGGCTTAGTGTACGCGGGTATGACTGTGTTGTTAGTCGTACCCCAGTGGTGCTTGTGGTTGCGATCTTGATCGTGGATGTATCTCGTCCACCCGTCGGATCTCTGGCTGGGAGAACAAACTTAACCGGCACGCGCAAACACCACAGCGCGCGCGCGCACACACACACACACAAAAACACACTCACACACACGTACGTACGCGGTGTGACGTGCGCGTCTTACACGAGAGACGGACGGACCGCAGGTAAAACGACTGCTCCGTCTGTAGTTGTATACAATAATAATAAATGCGGTTGGGTCGAAAAAACACACACACACACACACACGCGCGAAAAACACAGTCACGTAAACGCGCGCGCGTTATTATTATTATTATTATTATTTTATTTTCCACACCAGCGAAGATCGCAGCGGACGAGCGAGCGCAACACACGACGAGTCGAATACTAAACTGGACGACGGACCGGCTGTGTCGCGTAGTGGCAGCGGGCCCGTGTTCACGTCGGCGGCGGGCGTACAGAGTGCGCGCGCGATCGGTTTGCCGTGTAGTGGTGGATGCGGCGGTGGCGATGATGTCGATGTAGGACAGGTCGGGGTGGCGGGACGGGGCCTAGCACGCATGTGCTCGGCATCACACAGTGGGCGTGGCGGATACCGCTTACGACCGCCCAACGTGCGGCGGTCACGTGACAAAAATGGAGCTTCACCGCCGCGCCGCCCGTGCCTTCGCCCGTCGACGACCGTCCGTCTATCCGTCCGTCCGTCCGTTACGCGCGCACAGTTCGTCCGTCCGTCCGCGGCGGCGGCGGCAGCGGTGGCCGCCGCCTGACGGCCTGCCACCCGAACCGCGCACAACCGACATGCCCCACCCCTATTTCCCCGCTAACCATCCCCTCACCGCCCGTCCGACAGAAAACACACCGTACCTTTCCGCCACCGAGCTTTGTTGTGCGGCGGTTGAAAAGTTCGATTTCTGTTGTGTGCTACGTACCGCCGATCGCGCGAACCGGACCCGTCTATTATCTCCGCGTGCGGAAATCAACACACGACACGCTCTATTGTCAATACCCACCGTGGTGGCGGCGCCTTTTTTCCGTTCCGCCGCCAAACTTACCGATTGCGAATAAACTGCCCCAAAACACGTTACGCTTTAATTATTGTCATAAATCAATTGATTTTCTAGTACGCATACATTGCAATATTGCATTATTTATACTATTGCGCCGTCTTCAACGTGATGTACTACATTATAATAATATTATCCTCGTCAATATTAACGTTTAACAGACATTGATTAAACACCCATACCATTATCAATATAAATATGCATAGTATTTAATCGAATACTGCTTACTCTGCAAATATACCTACATATAGTTTATATTATTTAATATTTATATTTGTGTACACGGTAGTTTTATAATATGATTGTATATAGTGAATACCATACGATATTGTAATGTTGTTGTACGTATTTTAGGTATACGTAAAAACGACCCAACCACTATGTTATTATTCCGCGTATATGTTTATTTGAGAAAACACTCGAAAACCACGTCTTGTACACTGTTATAATAATAATACAATATAGGTAGGAATATACATTGTTGTAGGTACCTATCTATTCATTTCTGCAAATATATAAGTATATATCTAAATCTTATAGTCTATATTATATATATATATACCTTACTACACAGCACATTTATAATATAATATACAATGAGACGAAGAAGCGAAGCGAAGCGCATCGATAAAGATCTGTCACTATTGTACCTTTTTAACGCGTTGACACGTTCTGGTTAAACATCAGAATATGGTTCGACATATTAATATATTACCAGATACATTTAAACACATTTGAAGTTTAATTCACGCAACTATATATAGATGTATAGATTTAAATTTATTATTTTTATTATATTTCATCGAATGAAACAAGCAACATTCGTATATATAATTATCAATATATTATAATTATATACATATACGTTCTATATTCATCTTTAATAATAACGCTATGTAGCTGTAGGCTATGTGTGTTTATAATTTATATATGGGTAGGTATTATATAGCATATTATACCGAATTGATTTAGAAATACGCGTAATGCGTATAAAGGTAGGCACTATATATTTAGGTATACATATATTTGTAGTTCGTACGCACTTATTTGACTATACGTATATTTGTGTATACCAGTGGTTCTCAAGCTTTTTTTGGTTCACGGCACATTATATGTTACATCACAAGTTTTCGCGGCACACTCAATACAAATGTAATGAAATAAATTACCGTTTTCAATATTTTTTTTACCAGCATAATTACAAATATCAGAAATTTCTCGTGGCACACCTAGTCGATTCCTCATCGGCACACTGATTGAGAATCATTGGTGTATACGATCGGGGACAAGCCCCTCAAACGTTCATATTATACTATTTTACGAGATATTTTTTACCCCTAAATAGTAATAAATGCCCTAAATGTGTATATATATATATATATAATTTATACTGCATAGTATATAGATTATCATAAGCAGTACTTACACATATATATATATATATACATATATATATATATATACATACACATATACGCACACATATTATATACATATATATAGATATATTGAAATAATATATTAATCCCACCTCCGACGTTAACGCCAATGACGACGACGCCACATGCACACACACACGCGCGCGCGTTCACACCACTGCTAAACACCTGGCTACCCCGTCGGCGGCAATCGATTTTCGCCACCGCCGCTACTCTCTACTCTTCTAAAACCACCACCGTCGTTGTCCTTTGGTTATCGCCTCCCTATCATTCACTCTGTCTCTGTCTCTCTCACTCTCCCTAATTTTCCCTAACACACTCTCTCGTTATCTCTCTCTCGCTCTCGTGAACTATATACATGTGCAACCCGTAGCGGCCGGTTGGCACACTCGTGGACACCTTCGGCCCGAATGCTGCTCGATCTATCTCTGCTCTTTATACATACACCTACACCTACTATACAGGTATATGATGGTATGTGTACCATATATATTTATAGATACGATTTTTTTCGGTATAAATAACTGACGCATTTACGCGAATAACCTTTATACGTATACACCTAAATATATATAAATTAAGTAAGGCTTGTTATTCGTATAATAATTATCAATAAATGCAATGGCATACTTAAGGGTATTGACTATTGATATTATTATTCTTTATTTTTATATACTCAAAATATAAATTATTTAAAGAAAAAACTATCTACCTATATAAAGTGTAAGTATCTATACCTATTATACCTATAATGACTTTGTGATAAATAAATTAATATTGTGGTATATTGCAGAAGTCAACGACAAACTACTAAAAAAACTAAAAAAGTAAACCTGCATAGTTCACAACACTACAGCATTTACTACTACTATATAGGTACACTACTATACTTATAAACTAAACATAGTCATATTATATAGGTGTAAGTAAGTACCTATAGGCTGTAATATAAAGAATTTACGTTTTTTACAGACAATTTTATATTCTGCTACAAGTATTCGTTATTAGTAGGGCAAATTATTAAATGTATTTGCAACAAAAAATTATAAAATATGTAAAAAAAAATTTTATTTCTACATACCATTGAACATTTTTTACACAAAAATCACAAACTAATTGAAATAATCACTACCGATTAATATTTAATTATTATTATTATTATTTGAGATACGAACGACAAGTTATTGGGACGACTAATGAATTTATTATTTTGACTAAATCTGTCGTATTAATGAAAAACAAACACGCAATGGAAACATGATGCATGTAAATAATCCTAGCGGTCCATGATAATAAGATTAGATGATTAATTTACATCAACATGACAAATGAGTAATGACTCAATAATTATAGTCGTACATTAAATAAATACCATTAAAATTTATAAAATTCCTAAAAATCAAATATGCAATTATATTAATTAGTTTTAAAATATTCAAAAATATGCAAGAAAAAGTTGTTTATTTAACCAAGAATAGGCCAAATTGTGGACATATCTGACAATCAATTAACTAACATGTAAAAATACATAGAAATCCTAACCCTAGTTATTAGTATTAAGATGATAACTTGAACGAAGTTACATCATATAACCTGTATATTATCTCGATTCTCGATAAACTAAATAATTTCGAAT